ATGCATCTTTTAGCCTTATTTCCCTTATTCATGAGGTTGTGCACGTAAAGTTGGAAACTTTACGTGGTAAAACAGCTTATTGGACTCAGATCTATCGATTGTATGCATTGGATTCAAACAAAATCAAGTAAAAATCAGTTGCATGGCGGCGACTCGGCGAGTCGGAAGAACGACTCGACGAGTCGGGTCGCGAGTCCCGAGTCCTTCAGTTTTATCAGTGTTGAGTGGTCGAGGTGAGTCAGGAAGTGGACTCAGCGAGTTGAGAGTAGACTCAGTGATGGAGGGACTCGACGAGTTTGTTCATACAACTCGGCGAGTCCAAGGCAATCTGCTTGGGATCAAGAACAACTCATCGAGTCTGTTCATCCGACTCGGCGAGTCGGATGAAGATTGTCTGAGTTCTTGGATCAAGAGGGTACTCGTCGAGTCGATGCCAGACTCGACGAGTAGCAGTGAGTAAAAGTGAAAAGTAAGAGTAGGACTCAGCGAGTTGGGTGGCCCAACTCGGCGAGTCAGCCCAAAGGAGAGTTGACTTTGACCGAGGGTAAAAGAGTCATTTTACCCCAAGCGCAGTGTTTAGTATTTGATTGAGTGTGTTTATGGACTTGTAGCCGAGGAGATTCAGGAGCAGCCACCGTTAGCTTCCCGAGCCACACACTCAGCAGCCAACTTATGAGGTGAGTTTCCTTCCAGTAGGAACGGGTCTAAGGCCACAATGCCGGCCCGTTCAGTTAGCAGTAGTTTCCGGATTTAGGTCCGATGCAGTAGTTGGTATGTTCGATGCCTTCGTGGTTCGAACAGGATTTATGTGCTATGTTTTATATGTTAAGTACCATGTGTTCCGGGCCACGGCCCGATGTAGCATGTCGTATATGTGTTATGCTAGTTGATGTGTTATGCTATGCCATGTTCAGTCAGACAGTTCCAGACTTCGGTCCGATGCAGTCAGTTTTGGACTTCGGTCCGATGCAGTTAGTTCCGGACTTCGGTCCGATGCAGGGGACAAGGTCCCAGTTAGTTCCGGACTTCGGTCCGATGCAGTTAGTTCCGGACTTCGGTCCGATGCAGGGGACAAGGTCCCGGTCAGTTCCGGACTTCGGTCTGATGCGGTTAGTTCCGGACTTGGGTCCGATGCAGGGGACAAGGTCCCAGTCAGTTCCGGACTTCGGTCCGATGCAGTTTCCGGGTTTCGGCCCGATGCAGTGGGCAAGGCCCAATATGTGTTTATATGTTATTGTATGGTATGTGGTAGTTTGGGGGAGCTCACTAAGCTTCGTGCTTACAGTTTCAGTTTTGGTTTCAGGTACTTCCGCAAGCAAAGGGAAGAGCTCGGGGTGACAGCATCGCACACACCACAGCATAGCTTTTATCCTGGGGATGTCTCTTGATGTTTTGGATTGATGTAGTATGATACAGTTTTCCGCACAATATTTTGTTATGTTTTGGGGATACATCGCGTATGTTTTATGTTATGATACTTATATTATGGTTTTGATTATATGGAAAAACGAAAATTTTTGGGTCGTGTTTTTGGGTCGTTTCAGCATTGGTGGACTCGGCGAGTCTGCGCTGTTTAATGAAACCCTAATTTCTCGGGTTTGGGGCCTATTTAAAGGGCCTTATGGCCGTCATTTGTGCTCACCAGCCCCCAGAGCGAAACCCTAGTGCACTTGAGCGTTTAGAGTGAGAGAAGGAGCCATTATCAACCTTGGAGGTGTTGTCTAGCAAGGGAAAGAAAGCTTTAGCCAAGAGGAAGCAAGAAGGTTAACTCCCTGAAGATCTAAGGTCCAGAACATCACATTTGAGGTATTATTTTCGAACCATTTTCTATTGAGGTGATGTTCATATTGATTTAGGGTTTATTGAGCCCTTTTGTAGCTAGATCTAGTGCTCCTTTGGTCCCTTAAGCGAGTTAGGTTCTGGATCTGGACCCTTGGAGGTCCAGAGTGTCCCTTTGTCCAAGCTTTTTATAAATCCATGGAGGTTTTGGTTTGGGATCTTTGTGCTTGAGGTCAAAACACCATTTATGAGTCATTAGGTGAGGTATGAGCGCCAAGACATGAACTTTACGTGATAAATAAGCTTGGAAGGACTGGATCTATGAGTTAGTGGAACAGATCTGACCTCAGAAGGTCGTTTGGGGTTGTGCATGGGATGCACTCGCCGAGTCCATTGGCAGACTTGACGAGTTGGTGCGGGTTGTTCAGAGATTTTGAACCAGGGGTTGAGTAACCGAGTTGGGTGAGTGACTCGGTGAGTCGGAAGGGACTCAGAGGAATCGGGTCCCCATAGAGACTCCACGAGTCCACGCCAAACTCGGTGAGTTGGGGTTGACCGTTAACCATTGACCAGAGTTTACCGGTGTTGACTTGATAGGGTTAGTCAACCTTAGTTGGGAAAGTGTTAATTAGAGATGTATTATGTCATAGGAGGACTATAGCTCGGGAGATCGAGCACTAGTGATTTCAGGGATTTACGAGTTACCGAGATACGCGAGGTGAGTCTTGTCACTATACTTTACCTTGAGTAGGTAAATAGAGTTGCGATTGTGGATCGGAAGATCAAGGTTTTGAGGAACAAGGAGGTGCCTCTGGTATAGGTCCAGTGGAAACATCGGAAAAGGTCGGAGCTTACTTGGGAACTGGAGCGTGAGATGCGTGTGCAACATCCGGAGCTATTTCAGGGGTGAGCCTTCGAGGGTGAAGTCAGATTCAAGTGGGGGAGAATTGTAACATCCGGAATTTCAGGTATTATATTTATTCTTTTTATTTTGAGTTTTGAGGAAGAACTCGGCGAGTTGGTGCGTAGACTCGTCGAGTAGAGACGCGATTTCTCATCCGGATTAATGACCGGACTCGACGAGTCGCATTGGTGGACTCGGCGAGTCCGTGCTGTTTAATGAAACCCCAATTTCTCGGGTTTGGGGCCTATTTAAAGGGCCTTATGGCCGTCATTTGTGCTCACCAGCCCCCAGAGCGAAACCCTAGTGCACTTGAGCGTTTAGAGTGAGAGAAGGAGCCATTATCAACCTTGGAGGTGTTGTCTAGCAAGGGAAAGAAAGCTTTAGCCAAGAGGAAGCAAGAAGGTTAACTCCCTAAAGATCTAAGGTCCAAAACATCACATTTGAGGTATTATTTTCGAACCATTTTCTGTTGAGGTGATGTTCATTTTGATTTAGGGTTTATTGAGCCCTTTTGTGGCTAGATCTAGTGCTCCTTTGGTCCCTTAAGCGAGTTAGGTTCTGGATCTGGAACCTTGGAGGTCCAGAGTGTCCCTTTGTCCAAGCTTTTTATGAATCCATGGAGGTTTTGGTTTGGGATCTTTGTACTTGAGGTCAAAACACCATTTATGAGTCATTAGGTGAGGTATGAGCGCCAAGACATGAACTTTACGTGATAAATAAGCTTGGAAGGACTGGATCTATGAGTTAGTGGAACAGATCTGACCTCAGAAGGTCGTTTGGGGTTGTGCATGGGATGCACTCGCCGAGTCCATTGGCAGACTCGACGAGTTGGTGCGGGTTGTTCAGAGATTTTGAACCAGGGGTTGAGTAACCGAGTTGGGTGAGTGACTCAGTGAGTCGGAAGGGACTCAGAGGAATCGGGTCCCATAGAGACTCCACGAGTCCACGCCAAACTCGGTGAGTTGGGGTTGACCGTTAACCATTGACCAGAGTTGACCGGTGTTGACTTGATAGGGTTAGTCAACCTTAGTTGGGAAAGTGTTAATTAGAGATGTATTATGTCATAGGAGGACTATAGCTCGGGAGATCGAGCACTAGTGATTTCAAGGATTTGCGAGTTACCGAGATACGCGAGGTGAGTCTTGTCACTATACTTTACCTTGAGTAGGTAAATAGAGTTATGTGATACAGTACTTTATATATATTGTTTGTTGTACTGCATTCTTCTATGTGATTTATGCTGTGCGTGCTTGTAGAGTTAGAACCTGAGGGTTCACAGAGTTTGGGTGCACGAACCCAAAGAGTTATAGCCTCGAGTGGCTAATATGTGTTATATGTGGTATTTCGGGGAACTCACTAAGCTTCGTGCTTACAGTGTTTTGTGTTATGTGTTTCAGGTTTCTCTCAGGATCACGGGACAACACCGACCTGATTGTACACACCAGCGAAAGAGTCATGTTTTGAGGATGCTGGTTTATTATGCAAGTGAAAATGGAGTTATGTTTTATAATTTGATTATGAATGAGATTTTAACAAAAGTGTTTTTAAGAATTAAACCACTATATTTAAATGAAAAATTGTTTTGAAATTTACGGTGTTACAAACGTCATTTCTTTTGACGTCTTTCATCGTCGTGTTATAGTCAGTTTAGTATGGTAACAATCTTATCAAGTTTTTCCTTAATTAAACCATTGGTTTTAAGGTAGTTATTACTTCAGTAGTTAATACAAATAATACTGCAGTACACATACATTTTCCCATTATATTCAAATTGTGATCTTCTCACATAAAGGGTAAATAAAACTATATTTTGGTAATGATAGGCATATTTGGGAAAAGCATACACTTTTACAAAGAAACAAACATACAAAACAGTCGAGTCTTGGTAGAAGACTACTTTTTACACTAGTAGAAAATATATGATTTTCTAGGAGTTTTCAAACATATACAAACATTTACATTGAACACTTTACAAACATTTTCATCGAACTTATACAAACACTGACACTAACTACTTATGAACTCACCAACTTAAATGTTGATCTACGCCTTCAAAATAACTTGTATTCTCAGGTCATCAGTAAACAGGTACCGATGGCAGGTTTTGAGAAGACAGAGCACAGTCAAGACTCGTCTTTTATTTTGATTATTCATTTTTTGTGTCTTATTCTTATATATATATATATATATATATATATATATATATATATATATATATATATATATATATATATATAAGGGAGAGCACTTCTTAGGAATAGTGCCTAACCAAGTTACTAACTAGACTACTGTTCATCGGGTTCGCTCCTCCTTGACCATGGTAAGGAATATCAGTTTCAGTTTCTTTGTTCTTATCCAACCTTTTCTTCTCCCATCAAAATCGTCTAGAAGCCCTAAAACCACCCCCACCCCACCGATCGATATTGCTCCTTCTACTATGCCTTTAATGGCTGCCATGGATTTGGTGGCACAGATGTGTTTTCCTGCTTCCATTCTGACCTCCACCGCCTCCTCTCACTTCAGCTGTGGTGCTTTGGAGTTCCGGTGGTTGATTAAGTATACGCTTCTCGCTTCTTCTTCTAGCTACCACTCCCCAATGGCTCCGGCGACGGCACACCCTTTCTCCATCAGGTAAGTTTTAGTTTTTGCCATGGATTTGGTGGCACAGGTGTGTTTTCCTGCTTCCATTCTGACCTCCACCGCTTCCTCTCACTTCAGTTGTGGTGCTTTGCAGTTCCGGTGGGTGATTAACTATACGCTTCTCGCTTCTTCTTCTAGCTACCACTCCCCAATGGCTCCGGCGACGACACACCCTTTCTCCATCAGGTAAGTTTTAGTTTTTGCTATGAATTTGCACACAAAATTCTCTTTTCTGGCCTATGTCGATCATGGAAAAAAACACACACATACACGGTGGAACCACCGAACCAACAAAAAAAATATCACCAAACCATTTAATTGCTCTCAATTTTAGGGCTTCTGCTTCTTCATCCATGGATTTTTGGTTCTCTAACTTGATTAGGCTTACTGCAGTCGTTGATGATGCCAGAGGTAATTAATCAATTTTTTTGCACTTTTTTATTCAAGTCTTTTACAAATCTTGTATCTTTTTATAGTTGCTCTATATATTCAATTCAGGGTCTTTATTTTTGTATTCCATTTCGTTACCAGCTAGAAAATCCAGCAAGATTTCGAGATAATAAAGAGATGTTTACTGTTATGGATGAAGTTTTGGCTGCTGCCCACCAGGTATTCGATGAAATTCCTAGGTCTCTTTTTCTATGTTGTTATCATCGCTTTACCTGTATTTTATATTATTTTATTGGATAGATTAATTAGTGTTCTAAATATTTTTTTTCTCAACAATTTTTTTTCCTTCAGTTATAGTTAATGTTGTTTTGGTTATGTTAGTAGTGATTGAAATCATAATAGCTTATGGAAAATGTGTGCAGTTGAAGTCACGAGATTCAGAAGCTCTGTATGAACCTTCTTTAAAAGGTATTAATTTTTGTAACAATACATTTTATATGATTTTGGGGTTTTACCGTATCATTTTATCAATTCATTTATTATTTGTCTATTTTTGTGCAAATTCAAGAAAATGGCAGGCTTACACCTACTTCCACTCTATTACTTGGTTATGAGTTCTAAGAGTTCAGTAGTTAATTCATGTTTTGTTAAATAAGTACTTTGAAAAAGAAATTTCTACCCCTCTTTAAGATTTCCTTTTACTTATGATATTATGTTTATAATGTGCTTAGATTTATTTTCATTATGTAGGTTGCAATGTGGAACCGGGCTGTATCTACTATCATGTTTCAGTTATTGGTTCCTTACAATATGAGAATTCGGACCATGTTCTATCACCTACTTGGTCTACAAGAGTCTTTTCACCTTCTGGTGTTCCTGACATTCAGTGGAGACCTGAAAGTTCCTTCCAAACTCAGCATGAATACACTTGTACATTGTATTGTATCTACATTAACTAAAATACTATTAATGTATTTACTTTTTTTTTTAATTTTAATTTTAACAGGGACGACTCCGTTGTAGAACTGAAATAGCACCAGATCAAAGGGAGAAACTTTTGCAGAAATTCCAATAAGTACAACAACAACGAAGCGGCACCCTTCCTGGAATGCCACCTATTTCTTGAGGAACTTATAAGCAATTTTCAACACAGCAAAACTCTCTTCTACAACAGGTTTCTCCTTCATATTTCATATTTTGTAATTCTTCAAATTATTTTTATTTTAAATAAATGATGTTATTGTTATGTTAATATGTTCACAGTTTAATTCCCAAAGCTCAAGTGGATGGGGTGGGGCACCGCCAGCAAGTCCCAACACTGCCACGTCAGCACAACAACAAAATCTAATCCAATTACAGTCAAGTCAACAAATGTCAACCAGTTCTAAAGATAGTGGTAAACTCTTTGACTTTTTTTTTAACATTATTGTCAAAGATAAATGAAATTTAAAAACAAATTACGATTTGAAGCAGCAAATAACAATTCAAAAGTCGATGACATTGAACAACAACAACAACAAATACACCAACAAAGCGTTACATCTGATGACTCAATACCTGATCCTGCACAATCTCCTATCCTTAACAAGAACACTTCCAATGAAGAAGATTCAAACGTCTCATATGCATTAGACATGCAGCAGGTATAATTTACTTTTAATTCATTTTTCTTCTAGGGTTTATATTTTATAATATAATTTTTTTAGGGATTTGGGACTATAACAGAAGCAGCACAAAGCACACGCGATGTTGACCTATCACCTGGTCAGCCATTACAATCAAACCAGTCGGTTAGCCTGGGTGTGATTGGTAGAAGAATCCTGACTTGGGTGCAATTGGAGACAACGTTAGTGGGTTAGCTGTGTCCCTAGGTGGGACCCACGACCAACAATACAACCTCCAAATACTTGAGTCCGCCTTCTACAAACTCCCCTAACCCCGAGACTCAGAACGTCCCAAAAGCTACATTGCAGTAAATATTATTACATCATACTTTCATTTTTTATTTTTTATTTAACTCTTTTATAGAGGCACCCTGCGATGACCCCGTATAGCTATCCGCATGTGCAAGCTCCAATTATGAACAACTCGGCCTTTTGGGAACGTCTTGGATCCGACAACATTGGGACCGATACTTAATTTTTTCCGTTTATTATCAATAGGTATTTTTATTTTTATATCATTTGTAATTTTTATTGTAATTTTTTTTTGAAATTTGTGTGATTTCATGCACAATGCTTATCAACACTATCTGGCTGCAAAAGAATTAAAGAAACAATCATGGAGGTACCATAAAGAATACAACACGTGGTTTCAAAGACATGAAGAGCCAAAATTTGCTAAACCGGAACCGGGTCAGAACTGTCAGAGGCAAAAATTCATGCAAATCTTTTTCAAAAACATTCTTTGTGGAATGTATAACCTATGCAGGTGACTGATTATGCTATGCTAAATTAAGTATTTTATGTTCTTACTTGTAATAAATAATATTCTATGAGGCTTTTTTTTTTCATGTGTGCTTCTTTTAAGGATAAGTGAAGAATTACATGCATGTTCTTCAAAACTGCATTGCTTTTTAATTTTGGTGTTCATGCTCTCAACTGGGTAATGATTATTAGATAATAAATAGTTTTTGATTATTTTTACACGGAACATCAATGGCTTCCTCCATACTTTCACATTCCCTGTTCCCGTTCGTCCAAAAGTTTATTTATTTATTTGTTTTTAGCAGATGATCTGCTGATGGGGAGATCCTCGGTTGATTCAACAAGTGGTTTTCAGGATGATCCACAAGAAAGGTGGCATATTGAGTTCCAACCATGGAACTCCTAAGCCCCTATTGAGTTCCAACCATGTAACTTGGACAGTTAACTAAAAAAAATAGATTTCAAAATAATCACAATTTAAGGGATATTTTAGGCAATTTTTTTTTCATAATAATAGGCTGCTATGGTCAGATAGAAAGTTGCGGCTTAAATTGTGATTATTTTGAAATGTATTTTTTTTAGTATTTTGGTTAGAAAAATTGATTTATGTGTTCTTCATTACAGGGTATTTAGGAATTCTGTGTTTATCAATAGTTGATCAAATGACATTTACAAAGAACAAACAACAAAAAAACGGTCGCATCCGACCCCTGCAACGCGGGGGTCCCCACCTAGTTACTATTAAAGAACACACTTGTATGAAATTATACTATTAATGCAATAGATGATGTTGTTGCTTATTTACTACTTTGCATTTGTTATGATACTATACATGACGTCCTCCGCCTCCGAACGCTTCCGCCGTTCAGGTTTTGGGGTGTGACACTAGTAGACACTCTACCTAACTTTTAAAAATAATATTATGCCTACTTGGTATACTGATTCGCACTAATAGAAAATGTCAAATCTAGTTATTATGCTGGCCAGTTGCCATGAAACACCAATACTTTAGTCGTTATTATAGTCACTCTTTGGATAAGCTTGGTACCTCGTAGTTACTCTACCTAAATATTCGGCTATACAAAAGACACAATATATATATATATATATATATATATATATATATATATATATATATATATATAATAATAATAATAATAATAATAATAATAATAATAATAATAATAATAATAATAATAATAAGTAACTCACATAAATACAACAAGGAATAACAACACGACCGACCAGGGGAGGCCCCCACAACAAGGGTTAGATGAGACAAAATTCATCAACATGCTGAAAGATTTTCAGTTAGCCCCCGACCTATAATCGTGAAATCTTAAGTAAGCGGGAAATATTTGAATAGATCTATATGAGATTGACACTGCCATATGTGGTTGCTAGCTACAACTTGACAACAAGTCAAAGCAGACATAACTTTATAAATATATTTGCGACGTCTGATGAAGCATCGTGGTTTTTCAGGGAACTTAACTGTCGTAGCTCAATTACAGGAATTCATTGTAAAATTGTTAAACTAAAACTAACTACCTTAGACTACAACTAGGAGATAACCTAAGAAAGTAGTGGTAATGTACACAAACTCGAGGAAGTGAGTTTAGGATAAACAAGATAATTAAATAGCTACATGAGGTTTTATAATAATCAAACCTATGTACTCACCAACATTATGTTGAACTTTCAAACCACATGTAGTCTCAAGAGAATGAGCCCGGTTAAAGAAGGAGGTAACCCGGGTGATGCAACTCGAAGTCTATGTGCTCTATTATTGTACTTTGCTTTTGTGACATATACCTCGAACAACTTTCTAATAAATTTTATTTAATGAATAAAAAGTGATGTTGCTTAATATATCAGTGTATTATTCAATGTATGTCTGTGGCCTGAAATCCAACATTCTAACATTACACAACCCGAAGTTTTCGCAACTGCCCGGAGGTGTGACAGTACTGAAGTATGGTTAGTGTCTTAGAAAAGCTTATTTTAATTTTTAAAATAGTATTAATCATAACATTTACATGCCATAAAATAATACATAGATTGATTAACACAAGTCTTCATTTCCATTTCAATGAATACGGTTACATATAGTCAGTTTATACAAAATTGTCTGTGTAAGTACATGTCTTCAACCTCTACCATCACAACATTAAAATGATAATACTGGACAACAACACATCACATTAACCCTAACATAAACACATCACTACCTAAACATCACAAACACATCGATACCTAAAGATCACAAACACATTGATGCCTAAAGATCACTTGTTCATTAGATAGTGAACTTTGTCCACCAGGAAACCAAACATCACCAACACCAGTCCCACCACAAAAACAGTTAAATAATGCACCTTTTTCTCAGTATACTCTAAACGACGTTGCATAACGAGCGCATCGACCTTGGTAATCACCAAATTGTGACCCATTTCCTCCTTGATTCGGCCGACTTCAATCTGGTGTTCAACTTTCTTTGCCCCGCGATCGCAGAATATAGAGTACAAGTCACCAAAGTTTAGCATGTTGCATGAATTTAACGAAATGGTATCCGGTGATTGTGATGAGGTAGCCATCTCGTGATTCTTATTGAAAGTGTACTTGTCTCTTGCTTGTCCGTATTGGTTTAACCGAAAATAAGAATAAAGATTTAGGGTTTGAGTGAAAATGGCATTCCTTTTAAGAACATATGGTTGCAGTGACCCTTAGGGCCCAAGCAAAGAACCAGACACAACTCAGTGACATGAATAACGAGTTGCCTAAGAGTTAACTCCTTTGTTGATGTGGAATGTGAATTGTATTTGAATCCTTTAAAACAAGTTATTGGACCAATTTAGTCACTAAAATAACAATTTGTACCCTTTAAATGCAAAAAAAAAAATAAAAAAATAAAAAAAATAAAACAAACAATTTAAACCGGAAGATGTAATACGATCACATTTACCTTCCTAACATCCAATCCCAATTATACCTACCAAGTAACTAGAGTCTAGAGGCCTACCTTCCGATCTTCCATGGTTCAAACCAACCCGACCTGGACCCGACAGTACTTTATCCATGAACCATGATCCAATACACACGGAAAACCCGTCTGAGATACGATCAAGTCTTCAAGTCTGTGCTACGATTTGCTTCGCAACTACGCGGTGGGCTGCACTTCCTTCACCTCCTTAAACCCTACAAACAAAACTTCCCGAGGGTGCTGTTCGGCTTTACCGATTGAAATGTTCAAAAAGTGAGTCCTTCTCTCAACGATTTTCACGCGTTCTTGCTGCTGGCTATGGTTTTCCTGTGAATTTGTTTATATTGTATGTTTTCATTATCTGTGCATTGGGTGTCATTGATTATTGTGCTTTCGACTGATCCTATCATCTGGCTGAATGTGATTGCTCTTTCTGGGTAAGCGAGTGAGGTTTACGACCACAAGTGCAAAAATTACTTTGGGCGTTTAAGATGGAATCTTCAGTAATACTCATTGCTTCAGAATCATAGTCTATAAAGTGATATTTCAGATTCCGAAAATCAGAACGTTGTAAGACGATTCAGCATTAAATTGCTAAAAGAACTGGTTCTTGAGTTCTTCTAATCTGGATTTCGTTGATAAATTGAAAATTTAAGTATATAGAATGATACTGTCTACATCTGGTTTCTCTGAGTCCATTGGATCGACTTCCAACTTTGAAATTTATCAAGCTTTATACATGTTTGGAAACATTATAGTGTTCTAGGGTTAGAAACTAACTTAAGCACACTATATGTTTTCCTTAGGTTTACTTCAGAAGAGGTATCCGGGCAAAATCAAGTCAAAGCTTCTGTTCAACGAAGAATTCGACAAAGTATTGCAGATGAGGTTCTACGATCAACACTTTTTCCTTAAATTCTTATAACAATACCGATTAACTTTACAAATATCTGACACTTACGTCTTTCTTCTTCAGTACCCAGGACTAGAACTAGTTATGGATGATCTGCTTCCAAAGAAATCCCCTCTCATTGTCGCTAAATGGTTCTCCCTTTTAACTCATCTAACATACATCTGTTCTTCACCTTTCTAACATCCTTATTTTAATGTTGTTAGTCAAAACCATCTGAATCTGGTTGTGGTGAACAACGTCCCACTTTTTTTCAACATACGTGATGGACCATATATGCCTACACTACGTCTCCTTCATCAATGTAAGTATAAAAAAAATTCCTACACTAATTTATAAAGATCTAAAAACAATCTCCTTATTTGCATGTAGATCCAACTATAATGAAGAAACTACAAGTAGACAGGGGGGCAATAAAATATGTCCTTGCTGGTGCTAATATTATGTGTCCTGGCCTTACGTCTCCTGGAGGTATCTTGGATGAGGAAGTGGGTGCAGAAACTCCTGTGGTATGTGATTCATAAAGCCTATATCATTTTTTCGCTTGATTTGCTTAAATCTTAATATCAGTAGTAGCTTGTATTATTGTTTCTATTTCTGTTAATAATGCTAGTTTATTGCTCTCAGGCTATAATGGCAGAAGGAAAGGAACATGCGCTTGCTATTGGATTTACAAAAATGTCAGCGAAAGATATGTAAGTCTTATATGTATAATTTTTTTTTTCATTGTTGGGATCTTGTGAAGATGTGGTAACTTTTGAAAAGTGAAGCGCTTTATGAACTTGTTGTATCTGGTTATAGAAAAGAGTTGGAATCTCGTAAATTGTTTTCTTAAAGAATCGTAACTTTAAATATTCAAGTTTGTGTAAATCGTATTAAATAAAGTAATTGTTTGTAAGATTGGTGTGTGTTTTGTTACTACTGCAGAAAGGCAATTAACAAGGGCATTGGTGTGGATAACATGCATTACCTTAATGATGGCCTCTGGAAGGTAATAGTAAATTAGTAAATTAGTAAATTAGTAATACGACCACTACTTTTTCCCACTATATGAATGAAATAAAAATGTACTTTTATTTATTTGTATATTATAACACCCTACTTTCATTGCTATATTGCTATTTCATGAATAATTTGTAGAATAAACTGGTTCTGTTTTGCAGATGCAACGTCTAGATTGAGCATATGAATTGATACTGTTTTTGCGATATCAAGACAAACGACATCACTTATCTCATGTCCTTTGATATCTTTTTTTTTTTTTTCATGTAAGTTTTAGTCATCTCAAAGGGCATTTTCATGACTTGTTTGCTGTTTTGTATCCGTGTATTTTGGAATGCATTATTGTTATATCTTTTTCTATAAGGCTAAAAATTGCGAATCTCTTTTAACTTTTTTGGTGCGGGTTATCTTTGTTTGTTGTGTTTAATGATTCCTGAAAATATTTCTTTGTTTTTTAGTGTCAGTCCTTTATGTTTTAAGATATGCAACTCAGTGACGATTCTATATTCTGTATGGAAGGATTATTGAAGTCCCAAATGTAAAAAAGGTTAATTTGGTAGAATTATGTCATTTTAGGGAATTGACAAAATTAACCTTTGTCAAGGCTCAAGAGGCTTAATCTAGAGATGAATAATATTGTTACTTATTGTTGATGTTAGACCGTTTTTGATATTTTTGATTATATGCCTGAACATCGGATATCAAACTAAAGCACGACTTTGAAAACAAGAGTTTTCAGAAAATAATTAGTATTGGATTTAACGCTCCCATCCTGAAAAGTGTAACTTTATAGTTGATTTTAATGCTTGACTTGTGCTCAATGGAAAGGATAGGGTAAGAGATACATTAATATAAGGGTAATAAAGTATGTCATGTGTATAACATTGGTCACCATCATTTTAACTGTTAGGGTCCTCCTTAAAATCAATATTTTTGACTTAAATGGAGGGAGTGCTCTAGTACTTACTTTTTTTTTTTTTTTTTTTTTTTTTTTTTTTTTTTTTTTTTTCAAATTTAATTGAATTATATTTTTTTAAAATACAAATAATTAATATTAAATAAATTTTATTTTTTTAAACCACAAACAATTAATATCAAATAAATTATATTCTCTAAATCACAAACATTTCATATTAAATTAAAAAAATTACAATAAATTAAAACTTAAAATACCTAGAAGCACAGGTTAATTATTCAAATCACGACAAATATGATTTAATACTTAGAAACATGGCTTAATATGTAAAAAAAGACAATTTATAACTAAAAAACTTCATAAAAAAACACATTAAAGCAACAGGTCTTCCTTCGAAAACTGACATTCAAATCTGTCCCGGTTGCGTATTTAGATCAAGATCGTCCATTGTCCAAAGATGACGGGTCAAATGACGGCGAAGATCGACATGGGTTACTGCATTGTTGACTATCCTCAATATCCATATGCATTCTTGACCACCAAATTCAGGTTTTTGTGTCTTGGGGATGATTTCATTCTCGTCGTACACACATATCACATTTTCTTCATGTTCTAGTATCATATTATGCAATATGAACACATATACATCACCACAATCATAGTAGAAATATCATGAAACGTGGATGCTTTAGCAACTATCTGTCAACGCTTTTTAAGTGCTCCAAACACTCATTCGATATATTTTCTCGTTTTTTCTTGGATTGTCACACCCCCACACCGAGATGGCGGAAACATTCGGGGGTGGAGGACATCATGTGAGTATCACAACAATTGTAGAATAGTAAAACAAGCAACACCATCTATTGCATTAATAGAATAGAGTTTACATTGTATTTTATCACATATGATTAACAACAAAAGCAGATAGCAAACTAAAGACTAGAAGCTACTATGCTCCGTCTTCCAGAATCCTTGAGCGCACCTGTCTATTAGTTCCAGAGAATACAAGTGGTTTTGAAAGAGAGAATCAACATTTAAGTTGGTGAGTTCATAAGCGTTTTGTTTTAGAAGATATGTTCTTTTAAGACTTTAGTTTGATCTTCTAGAAAATCCAATATTTCCCGATGTAATAAAATGTGACCCATAAAAGTTCCTTCTATAATTACCTAGTGTATACAAGTTATATGCAGTATATATCACACAAACAGTCGATTGTGTGGTTCTGCCCTAAGCCCACAACCAAACAAGGAACATGGAATGGGGAGGAATCCACACATCCCACAGTTTGTCTGATTTACATTGTATATATCTTCATCTAACTTAGAAAGCGATGTAGTACCATTGTGTTTGTATGCAACTTTTTATATATGTGCAGCTAGTGGACTGTTCTTTCCAAAAAGTATGTTTTGTACTAGAAAATAGGGTAATGCTCTTGTATATGTATATGTATGTTCCTTTTTGTTCTTGTATATGTATAGACCTGACCTATACCTGATTCCTCCTATGATTTATTAGGGTTTATGTATTATACAAGACCAAGATCCATTAGATAGTAAACTATGTGTATCTGCTCTAAGCCCACAACCAAATAAGGAACAGGAAATGAAGCGGAAGGCACACATTCTACTATCTATCAGGTCCCTCTCACATATAACCCTGATGTATGACCTAACGAATCATAGCCTGAATCATTATATATAGATCCCTTCTAAATGTATGTTCACGTTCTAGTGTAGTGATGTAGTGTCCTTGTATTTGTGAAAACTCTTTATGTTATGAAATACTGTTATCTAGACACCATAGTTAATACTATTGTGAGTATTCCTATAACCATACTTGATCGACTAGTGTAACACGACGTATTGTAAATGTCAAAAAGCTGATATGACATTTGTCACGCGTAGACCTGCCGGTCCGGCTATAGCTAACAGCGATGTGCGGGATTGTCAGTCCCGTGTAGATCTATACATAAATTCACGCTCTCCTTCTAGGAGACTCTGGTTATTAATGATTGGGCGGAAGGCTATACCCAAATGGGTACAACTAAATAGTGACTCACGACCTTGTATAACTAGATATTTAGAGATTATTAGCATCCTTTTTGCTCTTGAGAATGTATATGTTATCTTGTACTAGTAGTGTACAATAATTATATTTAACTAAACCTTTTAGTATGATAACCTTGACCTTGTAAGATAGTTTTAGTATACCCTAAACTATACCTATTATAGTTTACTTATGTTCTGAGTGTTGTATAGAATCTTGTTACATAACATAATGGAATTACTTGAGTAAAATACCCTTTTGCTCGACATGTTTACAAAAGGGGTTTAAAACTTTATTTAAATATATTTCATGTCCGATATAGATATAACATGTATATGATTGAGATCAAGTAGGCATTCGGACAAATGCGTCCAACCTTAGTCCATAACCAGACAAGGAACATTAGGTAAGGTGGGCACAATAGTCCTAAGCCTGTTAGAGCTTAATCATATACCTATATATATATATATACACACACACACACACACACACACACACACACACATGTATTTTTGGGAAAGATATAAGCATAAAACAATTTAAGTGGTTTGAAAATACTTTTAAAATTATTTATAGCAATTGAAATAGTTTGACATGTTTGAAAACTGTTTGCAATCATTTGAATGATAACACAAGATATCCTTGTGTGTTTACTTCTATTCCCCCCTAAAACATTGGAAATCATTAAAACGTAGGGGCATGAACTCACCTTGAGTGAGTGATTCGAGTGAAGGCTGAAGCAAGGGTGTTTGATTCACCAGTGAAGTCCCGAGCACACACAGATCCAAAAGAGTGCTAGAAGCAAGTTGGAAGGATGTTCACAACCCTAAGGGAGGGATCACGGCCCAAGAACACATGAGTGTTCACGACCCAAGCATGAAGGGTTCACGGCCCACTGGGTGTTCACGGGCTAAAGAACACCAAGAACACTTGAAGATTTCAACGGATTGGTGAGTGTTTGAAGGTCCTTTGATGTAGTCCAAGAAGATAGACAAGAAGAAGGATGAAGAAGAGTGAAAGATGAAGTTATCGAGGTTGATACCTGAGAGAGTTTTGAGAGAGATCACGGCCAAGGATGGGGAATGGCTGAAAAATGAAGTTAGACTCATATATATGGCACGAGTTCACGGCCAAGGGTGGATTCACGACCGTGAATAAGGTTTGCAGCCGTGAACCTCACTTGATGAGGTTTCAGGCCCGAACGCAGTGTACTGATCTCAAGCTAACACTTAACAGGAAACCCTTACGTGTACAAGGCTTAGAAACTCATAAACTGACCCTTAACGCAACAAAAGATAAGAGAAACAAGCCTGACTTTTGATTGATTTGATTGACTTACAAGCTAGAGATTTCGGGTTGTGACATGGATTCTCTTAAATATGGACCATTGAGGGTCGTTCGAACATGACAAACTTTTAATGAAAATTGAAAGGTTATGATAGATCCCATCGACAAGATAGTATCCATATTTGTATTTTGTTCCTCTAAGTACAAATAACAAATCTGGGGTAGTACCATCATATACCTTGTTGAATATTAGTGAGTTATTGAGAATATTAATGTCATTACGAAAACCAGAACTACCAAAAAAGGCATGCCAGATCCACAAATCTTGTGAGGCTACAACTTCAAGTACGACCGTAGGATAATGATAATTGTCCTTTGTGTGTTTTCCATGATATGTGTTAGTACACAAATTTCATCTCCAATGCATACAATCTAAATTTTCTAACATCCCACGTAAACGACGCACATTCGCATGATGAACATACAACTTTTTTATGTCAGTAGATGTAGGATGACACAAATATCATGGAACGTACAAAGAAATGACAGATCTGTAAAATTCGTTAAGAATTTATCGTACGGTAAGTGCAGACATCCAAAAACTCTCGTCTAGTTCATCAGAGGGGGGGGGGGGGGTAACATATGCCAACATACGAAATACATCTATACACCTCTTGCATCTGAGCATTGCCATATATACTCAGACACTAAACTCACACCTTCTATAATACACATAAACAAATCTTTATGCATCCAGAATCATTGGCATAAATAATATCCTTGAAATAGAGCATGCTCATTATAATAATCATGCATGAGATGTTGGTAGGCTGCTTCAAGTTGTCTTTAGATATATCTTCTTCGTTTATGTTGCGTATTGTTTGATTAAATGTTGTTAAGATGTTGTTCTAGCCTATTACGTATGGAGACGTCCGACTGTATCACACTATCAAAAACATCATCCGATGAAGATGACGATGATGGTGACGAAGATGACGAAAACAATATCTTTTCGGTCAAATGTATTGCAACCAATCACATTCATCTGTTGCCTTCTCTCTTATCTCGCCAAGCCGGTAACGAAGGCATCTTAGCGAGCCCCCAGCGAGCGCTAGGGGAAAATTCCCTCCTTCCTTTAGCGACCGTAGCGAGGCAATTAGCATCTCCTACTCTGTTCAGTCTAAGTAGCCATCCAACGTCTCTTGTCACTGTAACATCCGGAATTGCAGGAATGCTATTTTGATTATTTGATCATTTAAAATTTTGGGAGTTATTAGAGGGAGTCGACGAGTTGGTGCCTCAACTCGTCGAGTAGGGTCGTGACTTTTGACGCGTTTTAGTGATTGGACTCGCCGAGTCGAG